AATTTGGTGTTCGGTCTGAAATGCTCGCAAGGGTGCTATATAGAGGGGGAAAACGAAGTGAAACGGTCAAAAATCTGCAAAAAGCCTTTGTTCTACACGACTCAGAAAGCAATTTCGGACGAGTTTCCGTTGGCATCGTGCCAGTAACCGCTACGGTAGATACGGCTGCACGTATGTACTCATATGTCCATGCGCACCGCGGCCGCTTCATATCAATCCCTTCGCTTCATATCGTACTCCGCAAATGAAGCGATAAGCATCAGCATCGGTCGGACTTGTGGGCGCGCGGGCGCGGCGGGCGTCCAGGTTGGTACGACACAGCTTGATAAATGCTTTGAAGGTACCTTCCATAGGAATAGCGCCACACAGGCGCGTGCTCAGGGGCGTCAAATTCAGTCCTGCTAGGCGTATTAGTCCCACACATCTTGGAGATTTATCGTGCCAACTGCCTTCAAATAACTGACATTGACTTCTAGGCCTTAATGACAGGTGGAACGATAAATCGACAAGGCAGTCAGGGTCTTCACGCCTGGCGCGGAAGAACAGTGTGCCCCTGAGCAGGTGCTGCGTGGCCCCTTTCCCAGCCAAGGGCACCGTTATAGCCCCTGATCAAGGTGTAGCATGCTTACCTAGATAAACACCGCAACTGCCACCCACAGTTAAGCGCACACCGACCTGGTGCTCCTATCATTTGATTTATGAAGTACAATTGATAGGACGCGTTGCTATATGAATGCTGTGGAATGGCCGAACTTGGACGATCATGCTGGGGTACAGCCCGCGTGTTTCTGATGAAGTCTTTGAAACTTCAGAGCATAGCTCATCTTTATCCAGCGAGCGATGCCATCGTTAGCACGCTTTGTTTGTGCTCAACAATGCGTGCAAATGTGTTGCTTGCTTGCATTATGTGTGTCTGCAATGAGCTTGTTGTATGAGTGACGAGACTCACGCAATGTCAATAATTAAGAATGTTAGTATTTAGTTTGAAGTTTGATGAATTTGCTGCACTGGCTCAGCTCGGAACTTTTTGTGGGCAGTTTACCATCTGCTGGATTCGCAATTTTCTCTTTTCTACGGGAATTCTCCACTGCCTTTTCAAATGAGTCTTGAGGCGAAACTGTGTTCTTTCTGCAGACACTGCCTCCGTTTTCTGGTTCCTGGGAGAATCGCGGTTGAAATTTGACGCAGAATAATTGTACTCCTTATTTTTCCCGATTTCGTCGTGCCTGCAAATGATTTATATTTCTTTAGTCTTTAGCGGAAATTCTCACTTCTTTATTTGGATGCATATGGGAATAGATTATTTGACGCTGTTCAGCTTGAGAGGGGGGAATCCGCAAGAGGGCTGAACTAACTTTGCTGGGTACCATTTGCTGTTTTTACCAAGCCAAACTGTGCCGATTATTTATTTTTAGTTTTTTCGTTAGCAAAGGTTTTCTTGCATA